AAAATAATATTATTTTTTTTCTGTCACGTAAGGATTTTTTACAAATCGGGAAGAAAAAATATCCTACTTGGATCAAATTATTATTTCTTTACCAGAATGAACATTTTGTATTATTATGTTTGTTAACAAAAATACAAACAAACTGAAGAAAAGGGAAAAACATTGATGTCGAACAAATATGCATCCTCATTTATCCTGTTTGTTTTGTGTGTGAACACTACGTTTTTTTAGTTTCAAACTACGTGTTGTGATCTTTCTCTTGTGTATTGCGTTTTGTAAAAATTCATATCATTTTCGGATTCAGCATACAGGAATTACTGTAGAACAAGTAAAAAAAATTCGAGGCAATGAAAACCATCGCAGGCCTGTGTTATCAAATGTGATATTTAACAGATCTTAATAAAATGTAAATAAATATGGTAGGTACTTGAATGTTGACAAGTCATCAGTTATAAATGTGATAAGTTTGAATGACAGCAAAATATGATAGTGAGAGTTTACAATGCCACTATCATGCACAATACATGATCACATTATCTACATCTATAGGATTTCAAAACGTAATGTATTGAATAATATAATGATCAAATGAAGCAGCAGGGCTTTCTTAATATGTTACTCATTGTAAGCTAAACATTTAGTTAACATGTTAAAACATAATTATAGTTGTATAAGCCAGGAATGGAGTAGATAGTTTTTAAATTGTATAATTCTAAATTACTTGATTTCAGATATAGTAGTGACACCTTTAAGATCTACCCTCTGGTGGCTTAAACTCAAACTTTAAGGTTTTTGGCCTATTTTTTATGTTAAGTTGCAGAGTTAGAAAGATGGGCACGAGGGGGGGGGCGTTGAAGTTCTTAAAATCTTTTGTCACTTCAATAGGCTTACGTCCGTAGGCAATTGTTGTTAAGTGACTGAATTTACAAAATACGTATATAAATTTTTATAGTGATTTAAAGTAGCAAACTACCTGCAAGTCTTTAGCCAAGCGTGGATCACATGATCTATATTTAAAATGAGATTAGGTTGTGTATTGAATGTTAAGTACACATGTACTTTATTTCACCATGTATACATTTCAAATATATTTCTGAATCGCATAACACAAACATATCTCATTTTGAGTTAACTAGTATCTTGTTAGTGTTCTAATCTTAACTTTTTTTTTTTAACCTAGGTAGGAACTCAAAACCAACAACAAAGTTTAAATACTATTTTTCCAAGCAGAAATACTCTGTAACCAGCATGTTTCAGTCATTAGAACAGTTTAGGCTAAACAACAAACTCCCATTCTAGATTTTCTCTTTATAAAATATGTTTCTGTTTTTTATAATTATTTAAGTAAGATTTTTATTTGGAAATGGGCGGTTATATCTTTTCGGTTAGAAAGCACTGTACCTACAGTGACAAATGTTAGATTTTTTTTTTTCTCAATAACCAAAATTGTGTGTATGTTTAATATTTAAAATTATCTTGTGTTAATTTTAATATCAAGAAGATATTTTTGACTTAGTGATTTGTTATGTACATCTTACATGAATATTCATGTACATTAAAAGGTTTAACTGCTTTTCTGACACTTGCATGGATAATGCCGAGTGCGATATCATCATTTTTTTGCTTAATAGTATGAAAAACCAATACTAATTAGTTCGTTGCTAATTTTCTTCGTTACCTAAAGTGTAAATGACTAAATGTGTTTTCATTTTTCATAACTTTCAACAGAGTACTCAGAATTATAAACATCAAATTAACCAGTAACTCACTTCTGTCCACCACCTTATAGTGTTAGTTTTTAATCCCTATTTGGAATGTGTTAAAAAATAATAATACATGCTGTATTGGAAAAGATAGTAAAATAAGGAAATATATATCCATAAAGTTGACATTCGAGGTTTTGGGTAAGTGTGCTTCCTGAGGTAAAATGTAGTACCACTTTCCTTTGGATGACTTTTTTTTATATTAGTATTTACCTTTCTCTTGTACATATAATAATAGCCTTTTAAAGAATAAAGTATCAGCATT